GTTCCGACAGGTGGATTAGGATTACAAAATATGTTGAGCCAGGTATCTAAATTTAAGTTGTAAACTGTTCTCCAAGGAGTTGATGTTAACAATTAGGCCTTAATTTTTAATGAAAGCTGGCTAGGGTGAATACATTGAAATGAGTTATTTTTCTATGAACAATATTTAAAAATAATAATAGAAAAGTGACCGATCTTAACAAAGGTACCAATAAAAGCATAATGCAGGGAATGAATAGGGCAAACTAAAGGATTGTTTCGGAACTGTTACTGACCTCACTGCCTACTCATATCTTCCCGAAGTGTTCCCGAATTGGAAAGCAACCGAACAATAGCGAACGAATGAATGCGGAAAGAAAGAAAAAATAACACACAATAAGCCAACAAGCGAAAGTATTTATCCATTGCATTTGTAAGGTATTTATTTTTCATCAACAGAAAAGAGCCTTTTTCACTTTCAGTGAAAATTTGAACAACTTTATCTAAGATATATGTATAATAGCATTTCTGTTTTCGACTTCCCTCGTTTCATCTTTGTCTTCTTTCTGCGGTTAAAAAGTCCCCCATTGTTTTTTACTACGCCCCTGATGATGCACCTTAATCCCGCACACAGGAGGGTGTGTGTGTGTGTGTGCGTGTGTGGGCGTGCCATCGATTCATCGATGCATGAATAAATGAAGGATCATGGTTTGGGGTTGCATTTTTCCCTCTAACTTCTGTTTCCCGGAGAAAATGTTTAGCCTTAAAAATTAAACCGGTTTTGCGGCCGTTCATTCCTCTTTGCTTCATATTCGCTCTCATCGCTCAGCAGCAGCTGTGGGCAAATATACACATTTAAAAACTAACAGTTAAAACATTGAATTAATCTCATTTTGTGACTTGGTTTTGCTTCTGTTTTTTTTTTCGGTTTAAATCAGCATTGCGCAGTTGAATGGATTTCAGAATTTTGCGTCGCACGCGCTTGCTTTGTTTTGGTTTGCTTTGCTCTCGGTTTGACATAAGTATACTTTATATAAATTTAATGCGTGTGTCTGGCTTGAGTGTTTTCTTATTTTTTTTTCTCGGCTCTGGTTTTGCTTTGCTGTGTATAATAATTTATATTTGTTTAATTTACTCACAATCACTTAAGATTAACAATCAAGAAAATACGATTCTTCACCACTTGGCTGTTGTTTTTTTTTGTATTAAACAGTAGTAGTCGTAAGCTCAAAGTGTGGGTGTTTGTGTGTGTGTGTTTGTGTATGAATTTGAGTAATTATTATGGTTAAAACTTATCATAACTTCTAACGATTGTAAACGTTCTGATGGTTACTTAATTACGTAAAAAGATGGGAGGGAAGCGAGGGAAATTAGTTGTTAGACGAAAAGAGTTTTGTGCTTTAAGGTCCGGGTGGAAGTGGGACGCCTTTTCTGTTTCCGATTGCATTTGTTGTTGCTGTTGTTGTTGTTGTTGTTGTTTACATTTGTGTCTTTGACCTTAGCCTAAACAGAAAAACTTAACGTTTGAAAAATCAAAAAAATCAAGTTTTCACAAAACTTGCAACAATATTCAGCTAGGATTTGGCATTATTTTTTTTAATTTTTTTTTAAATATTAAATTGATTGATTGAAAACCAGTTTCAACAAGATTTGAATAAATATATGGTAGGGAAAACAAATACGTCTTAAGGGTAATTCAGGCGAGAGAAAACAAATCGTTGAACCGTCTCAAACGTCAACGTGCAAATGTTAATCGACAATTTAAGTTGTAAAACAGAACAAAGGAAGTTACCCTACGAGCAACATTAATCGATAAATTTTCACTAACTTAAAAACTAATGTCTCTGCAATTCGCTTACACGATTATTCTCACTTAAAGGGTAAAAACAGCTGTTATTTGGCATGTGTCATTTGTTGGTTTTTGTGCTTTGTCGTCGAGTGTATTCGAGTTTCGGTAAGTGTTTTGGTAATCTCACTCTTTCGGTTTCGTTTATTTCACCGCACGGAAAAACAATAGGGAAAGTTTGTTCGCTGTCAAAGTGACAGCGGCTGTCAGTCCGTTGGCGGAAGAGGCGATGGACACACAAGTAAGAGTAAAAGCCGTTGCGAGTGTGTGGGTGGACGCATGCAAGCGAGAAAGTTTCGAGCATGAAGACACATTTTGTTTTACGTTTTTTCCATCCTCCTCGATTTGATTTTCGACAGTTGGATTGTTTTTCTTCTTCTTTTATGTACAAAAATTACAGTTAGAAAATCAAAAAACACGTTTCAGGCTGCGAAGGTTTTCCATAGTTTTCATTTTTGCTGAGTGGTTTACTGTAAGTGTGTTTGTGTGTGTGAGAGTGTTTTGCCTTAAAAGTTCAGGATTGTCATTCAATATTACTTTTCAAGTTTTGCGAATTTTTTGTTTGTTTTGTTTTACTCTGCTGTGAGTGAGTGCTGGGTATAAAACGATGTTCACTTACTTTTACACACGAAGTCGAAGTCACTCTGGCTTGTTGTAGGTCTCTGGCTTCTGACTTGCTCAGTTTGGCATATCATTATTGTTTGTTTGTTTTTTTTTCTAGTAATGGTACACCTGGTACCTTAACGTTAAGGTGCAACTGTACAGTCTTGACTTAACTAGATTTAAATTTTCCATACACATTTCCTTCCGTAGGATTGTTTTTTTTTTTAAGATAAGGTACAACACTTTTCGTAGTTTAATTATTATTTTCTTAATGTGAGTCGTTCTTAAGTTACGGGTAATTGTTTTGCATTGTTTAAAAATTTACCGTTTACTCAAATTTACCACCATCTTTAAATACACTTTTTGCTTCTAGAAAACTGATATGTTTCAACTATTATCTCATTTTCCTCATTGTATTTTTTCAGTTTTTTCTCTTTTTTGATTTCACTTTTTGACTAGTAATACTTATAATTCCGCTTGAGCTTCTCACGTTCACTGAATCGGGGAACTGACTGACTTACTGACTGACTAAGAGAAATAGAGAGAGATGGATAGTGAATGTCTTAACAAAGGGTGGAACCAAGTCGGAATCAACTAATCGTTTTTGATCGTTTCGGTTTTGCACTCACGCGGTGGCCGGTTATTGTTTTGGTTTCAGGTTGCCATGCAACAGCCGACGTCTTCCACTGCGATCAAAATGAGAAATTCGAGCTGTAAAAGAGTACATTCCGGCGTGAAGGTGGTTTGAGTCGTCATCGCGAACTTGCTTTCAGTTTCGTTTTTTTTTCCTTCTACTAAGGTAAGTTTTGATTCGTTTGTTTTGGTTGTCACTCGCGCGCGTTGGTTTTCTGAGTACTTAGATACAAATCACAACACAGAGTATGGCAGAGCGTGGGTTCGCACTTTGACTTTGAGTCGAACGGGTTTTGCCTACTGCGATTACTACAGCTTCTGACTGTCAACTTCGTCTGTCATCTATTTGCCGCAAATGTCAAACCCGACGGCGCTTCCTATGACCATTGTTTTTTTTTTCTGTTTTTCACTCATCGTATGTTTTGGTTTTTATTGTTTGTCATTAGACTAGAGAAGTAGAAAGTAGCACTGAAAAATAGACTAAGTTGAGCATTTTAGGTTTCATCTAGTAGAGTATAGGTTTCCAATTAGCGTTGTCAGATTAGCGGTTCGCGCTTTCACTCTTCGATTCCAAGAAACTAATATCACAATCAATAGAAAAGCTAGAGATTATACATCACTCACAATCGTGTTCTAATCGTGTTTTGGCGCTTCGTTCGTGTCATTTAATATATATAGAGAGAGATAAACAATAGTGGCTACATCTGTCAAAATATATTTTGTTGTTGTTGTTGTTGTTGCTTCCGATGACACGCACAGTAGTAAGAGACAGATCTAATCGATTTGAGTGAGCGAGTTATTGCCATGTTGAGTTCCGTTCCGAACCGGAACGCGTCTATTTTGAGCTGATCTGTTTACGTTTCCGCGCGTATTGTTTACAATATAATAAAAGCACTGAAATTAAATGACCATAAATAGAAACGTCATTCGATTTCCTTCCTCAGCTGAGCGGATTGAGTTTCGTTCGTTTCGACCGTGTCACAGAATCATAACTGGTTTTCGTCAATAAATATATAATAAATACCACATTTTTTTTTCTTCCAGCATCGTCCATATCGGCCTACGGCTACGCTCAATGACTTCTGCGTATGTATTTCTGTCGGTGTGTGTGTGAGTTCATTTCTTAGCATAATAATAATATATAGAATTAGGGACATCGATCAACACTTAATTTCTAGGTACAACCATGTTTTACTTCACCTCCTCTTTGCAACTTCTTCGTTTACTTTCATCTGCATCTGTGTGTGTGTGTGTTTGTGAAAGATTGAGTTAGGATTAATCTTCTTGTGTTCCTATTCTAAATAGAGTGAGAGAGAGAGTTTCACAGGTGTTCACTATTATGACTCAATATCGAAAGAACGGTTTGTCTACTCTCCGGAAACAGCTCTGACAGTGCGTTTCCCGCTCTCGTCGTTTCACTATAATACTGGAAAGATTAAAAGTCATCTAGTGGTTTTTGTTGTTGTTGCTGCTGTTGTCTGGTAATGGTAGAATTCGAAAAACTTCCGTTTATGTCTACTTTCAAATAGCTAGAGAAAGAGAGATAGAGATTGATAGATAGATTGTGAGAAACAGGATGATGAATAGATTAACAAAGTTGGCCTTGCTTTTGCTTCGCGTGACAAACTGCTGGGCGGCAGGGGGTGGGGGTCTTCATCTGACAGTTAAAAAACGCGTTTTTTCTTCGTCTTCTTTGCGAAAAGGCCACGCCCACGTTTGTTCTGTTTTCCGTTATTTTTTTATTTTTTTTGATTTTCACCCTCTTTGTTAAAATAGTTTGTTTTTTTTTTAGTTGATCAAAGAATACAAGATACCTTTTTCATCTATAATAACAATTTGCTCTTGTTTTCGTTCTTGTCTCGCCTATATGTACAAAGATTACTTACTAGTTTCATTTTAAAGTGTAGAAAGTTCAACAACAAAAAGTTTACAAAAACAGTTTTCTCTTTTATGCTTATCCTATCTGCTAGAGCCCTTACACTTTCAAGTAGATATTAGTTTCAATGTATAATTATCTGCATTAAGATAAAATTGGAAGTTCTTACTTCAATGTATGCGTGTGTGTATGTGTGTGTCGGTGTTTGTATATATTCATGGATAATTTGACATTTGGTGGGGGCAAACCTCCCGGCGAAGGATGTAGCCCCCGTGTGTGTGTGTGTGTATGAATGTAATTAGTTTCTGTTTCTTTTCTGTGGGTTCTTTGACGTATTTATTTGCATTTGTTTGTTTGTTTTAACAACCTCCGTTTCAGTGATTTGCTCAGGTTTGTTTTGTTTTTGTTTTTTTTTTAATGATCGTATTTAACTCTCCGTTTAATGATTACTAATTTCGAGGTGGCTTTCGGTTTGTGTTTGTTTTTTTGTAAACATACTGATTGAAGATTGTCTCTGAAAAATGTCTTTTCTATCGCTTTGTTTTTGAGTTTGACAGCCATGTGAAAGCTGTCAACTTGGCTTTTGTTTACGTTGAGCATGATTGCTGCTGCTGTTGTTGTTGTTGTTGTTGTTGTTGCAACTGTTGCTGGTGGAGCTGCAGCTGGTGTTGCAACTGATCGCTGGCATCCTGCGGCCGGTGCGATTTCATGTGGGCGCTGCGGCTTTTTACCTTATTAAATACCCTGAAAATGGATTCGTCGATAATTTGATGGATTGACGGAAGAAGAGAAGCAGATACGGATTAATCAATAAATGAATAGTTTACGCTGGAGGTGATTCGGTTGTGGTGAGATTTTTGCTGAAGAGTATTAACATAGAGGTAACTCTAAGACCAGAAGGTCCCGAAGAAACGTGATCAACTTTTTGGCTCAGCTCTGGTACTATCTTCGGTCCCAAGCTAATCGATGCACCCCTCGAAACATAGGAAAATCCACGAACCCCTCATTTTATCTGTCAAACTCTTATAGCGAATCAAAACAAAACATAGTGTAGTACTAGAATTGCGACTAGAATGAGGTACGTTAATCGATTTGCTTGGGACCAAGAGGCTAGTCAAGTAGTAAGCCAATTTAAAATCGATAGTTTCGTATTGATTGTTGATAATACTGAGGAGCAACATCTGCATTGAACCCACTGTGTCCATGCTGCTCCCATCAAATGTGACGCCCATGCGGTGGCGTAGAAGCGAGAAGAAAACGAATGACATTTGCATATGCGTTTGTCAATCATTCCCATTTACCGTTACTTGAATTCTCGTTTCCCAATAGGATATGGGCCCCGAATTCGCGTGTTTTGGGAAGTATCAGTGATTTAGTGCAGATTTCACGAGTGAAAATTGAGCGGGAATCGAAAAATTGTCCGTATTCAGATGATTGATGGCACGAACTTCCCATCCTCGAAGTTCTGCATGTTGATCATGCTGGAGGAGCGTGATTTGAAGGATTGTGTGGAACTGGATGTTGAGGAAGTGGAGGCGCTGACTATCAAGGAGGAACGCAGAGAAGCCGTCAAGAAACAAAATGAGAGAGAGAAGCGGAAAAGTGGCAGAAGAAAAATCGCCGGTGTAAATAGTTCCTCATTTCCCGAATTTATGATAGCCAATTGGAGTATGTGTAGAACTCTAGATAGAGCTGGAATAAGGGCGAATGTCGCAAGTGTAAACAAACTGAGGTTAATACGTCACGTTATACTACTATTAAAATGCTACAAAACGATACTAAAAATGTTTGGACAAATAATAAAAAAACGCAAAAAACATAAGGGCGAAACCAACTTTTTTTTTATTACAAATTGAGTTGGCTCTTACGGCCGCTTCCTCCCATATGTTGGGAATGTCAATTTCCTATCCCTTATACCACAAACCCCATCGGGCAACCCCTCGACAATGAGCTGTCATTAGACACCGGAAGTAAACAATAGTTTTTCATTCTTGACCTGTACCTAGCAAAGAAAACACGTTTCATTAAAATCTTGTTCGTTTAATTAAATACGTTTTCCGTTTTCTCTTAATCCGATTCCGTTACCACTGCCCGAATTCCCAATAGGTTATGGGCCCAGTGGATTCGCGAGTGTCGGGATCGAAGTGTTTTTGAATCGTCGTGTCCGGTCAAGTAGAAATGGAGAGAGAAGGCGAAATCGCGCGTGTGCCGCAATTCGACGGAAGCAACTATCCCTCCTGGAAGTTCCGTATGCAGGTGGTGCTGGAGGAAGTTGACGAATACGTCGTCAAGCAGGAGGACACGAATGCCGTGAAGGAGGTGAAGGAGAGAGCAGCGGAAAAACGACGGAAGAAGGACCGTCGCTGCAAGTCCCTCCTGATTTCGCGGATTCACGATAGCCAACTCGAGTACATTCAGGACAAGCCGACCCCGCGAGCGATTTGGCTGGCGCTGCAGCGGATTTTCGAGCGCAAACGCATCGCGAGTCGCTTGCATCTGACGAAGAAGTTGTTGTCGTTGCGACACGAAGGTGGTTCTCTTCAAGAACATTTTCTTGTGTTTGACCGTGTTGTACGTGACTACAAGGCAACGGGCGCCGTGCTGGAAGATATTGACATCGTTTGTCATTTGCTGCTGACGCTCGGGTCAGAGTACGCGACGGTAGTGACGGCACTGGAAACAATGCCAGAAGAAAATCTGTCCCTTGATTTTGTGCGGTGCCGATTACTGGACGAAGAAATCAAGCGGAAGAGTGCCAGTGTTGACATGTCGGTTCCCCGAAGTGACGATGCCGCTTTCGCCGGTTCGAGCACCGGAAAGCCTCGCGCAAAGCAACAACAACAAAAGAAGTGGAAGTGTTTCGGCTGCCACAAAGAAGGCCATAAAATTTCCGACTGCCCTGAGAAGAAAAACAGTGCGCATTACGGAAAGGGTGAAGATGGTGTGTGTTTCATGAGTGGATCGTCTGGATCTCCACCCACGCAGCAAGTCAGCTGGATCATCGATTCAGGATCGTCCGAACACTTGACAAACGACCGGAGTTTGTTCGAGAGTTTGTCCCCGATGGCAGAGCCGATGCAGATTGCTGTCGCGAAGGAGGGCGAGTGCATCACCGCGAAGCACAGCGGCGAGGTGAAACTGACATCCATCATCAACAGTAAGTCCATTCCAATTACCCTTAAGAACGTTTTGTACATTCCGGAGGCAAGAGTTAATTTGCTCTCCGTGCGGAAGATGGAAACCGCAGGGTTGAAGATTGTGTTCGCTGACGGGAAAGTATGCGTCGAGAAAAGTTCGAGAGTAATCGCGGTCGGTTCACGGCGCGGAAAACTGTACGAGATGAACTTTCGCCGAGAAAGTGAGATTGCAGAAAAGTCGTCGTATTTTTGCGGTCGGATTCCGAAACATCTCGAACTTTGGCACCGTCGGTACGGGCATCTGAGTGCGAAGAACTTATCAGTGCTTGCTCGTAACGATATGGTCGTCGGATTGGACTTTGGAACCGCGAAAAAGACTGACGTCGGAACCGTGTGTGAGTCGTGCATCGCCGGTAAGCAGACTCGAGAACCGTTCTCCGCGCGCGTGGGCAAACAGTCCAAAAGAGTTTTGGAACTGGTTCACTCGGACGTCTGTGGAACAGTGACGCCGGTGGGCATACACGGAGAGAAATATTTCGTCTCGTTCATAGACGACTGGAACGGCGCTGGTGGTGTAGTGGTAAGCGTGATTACCTCTCACCCCAGCAGGCCTGGGTTCAATCCCAGTCGGCGTCGCCGGGATGTTCTGAGGCATAACATCTCTGAAGTAAAGCCGTTGGTCCCCGGTTCGTGAGTTGATGGGTCGATAGGTAGGGTCCAGGTGTGGGAGCTGCCTTCCTGGCACGTCGGTAGCATTGGTGCTCAGCACGGAAAACAAGATCGACGGAAAAAACAAACCAGAGGAAAAAAAAAAATAGACGACTGGAGCCGGTTCACTGTTGTGTTTTTGATACGTTCGAAGGACCAAGTCGCCGAAAAGTTCCGGGAATACGAGGCGATCGCGAGTGCTAAGTTTGGCAGGGGCATCTCTCGGTTCCGTTGCGATAACGGAGGGGAGTATAAGAGCCGCGCGTTCACTGATTTTTGTAAGGAGAAGGGAATTGTGATTGAGTGGACGGTACCCTACACGCCCGAACAGAACGGCACGAGTGAACGTATGAACAGAACGTTGGTCGAGTAAACGCGTTCGATGCTCGAGGACAGTGGTGTTGACAAAAGGCTGTGGGGTACGGCAATCCAAACCGCGGCGTTTCTGGCTAACCGTAGCCCTGCCAATGCTATTGACTCGAAAAAGACTCCGTTTGAGATTTGGAATGGGGAAAAGCCAAATGTGAAGAGGCTTCGTGTGTTCGGTGCGGATGTGTACGTTCACATTCCGAAAGAGTTCCGGAAGAAACTCGACGCGAAATCGTGGCGCGGTACGTTCGTCGGGTATACTGCCAACGGTTACTGGATTTGGGATTCTGTGCGGAAGGAAATCGTTTCGGCTCGTGACGTGATATTCGTAGAAGAAAAAAATCATGGCGTTCAGCAAGTGAATGAAGATCCTGGAAGCGATCAGTTCGGGATTCTACCCGGGCAAACCGAAGATGCAGACGACGAAAGTGTACGAAGTGATCAGGAGGAAGATCCTGAATCCGAGGACGAGGAAGAGGTATTCGGTAGCGCAGGTGAGGAGTCCGATACGGAAGTCGAGCAGTCCGATCCAGAAGCTGTGAACGAAAATTTGGCCGATGAGGAGCGAAGACCGCGGAGGAAGCGAAATGCTCCAGGGTGGCATGAAGACTACCAGTTCAACTACACTGGTTTCGCTTTGAATGCCGCCAGTTTCGTCGATAATCTACCTTGTTCGTTGGCTGAGATGAAGATGCGAGAGGATTGGCCGCAGTGGGAGCAAGCTGTTCGTGAAGAAATGGACTCCCTTATCAAGAATAACACCTGGACATTGATGAAGCTGCCGAAGGGGAGAAAGCCGATTTCCTGTAAGTGGGTGTTTAAGGTTAAGAGATCTGACAATGGTCAGCCGGACCGTTGTAAGGCTCGACTAGTGGCGCGTGGCTTTCCGCAAAGGCACGGATTCGACTATTCGGAGACGTATTCTCCGGTAGCCAAACTAGATACGATCCGAGCGTTTTTGGCGGTAGCGAACCAGGAGAGATGGCACGTCCACCAAATGGATGTGCGGACCGCGTTCTTAAACGGAAAGATCACCGAGGAAATCTATATGACCCCACCAGAGGGATACAAGCAGAGGGATGGCTTGGTATGTCGCCTCAACCGTGCCCTGTATGGGTTAGAGCAGTCATCGAGAGTGACTAACAAAATGACTCGGGATCAAAACGCCAAACTAAATTAACTGTGAAAGGTTCGAAAGCTACGGAATAGAAACGGCTCGTAAACTAGTCGATCTATATCCATGGTACTATCTTCCCGTGTCTGTTCATAAAGTGTTCATACACGGGGCGAAAGTGATTTCTTCATTTCTAATACCCATTGGGCAACTGTCTGAAGAGGCCCAGGAAAGCAGAAACAACGATACCAAGCAATACAGAATCTACCACACGAGAAAGTTTTCCAGAGAAGCTACGAATACAGATCTTCTTCACCGTCTTCTGGAATCCTCCGATCCGTTAATTTCCAACATGAAGGAACTACCGAAAAACACAAGTGACGTGTGCTCCGGGGATGCTTTGCAACTTTTGGCCATCAAAGATGACAACGGCGAGAACAGGAAACTGCAAGCGCTCTTTGAGATTCGTATAATTTGAACGTAATGAACATTAAACATGAATGATTTTGGTATTGTTTATTGACAAAATCGAAAAATATTTAAAGTAAAGGGCGAACACGAAATTATTGCGACACATTCAACAGGGCATAACTTTTTTACCATTGGGTAAAAATCAACCAAATTTTGCACACTTTCTCATTGATGTGTATTGTGTACATGCTGTCAAACTCGAAGTCGTGTTTTTCGATTCAACGAAAATGGAGTAGAACCAACGCGAGTTGAGAGAACAAATTCTTTCCAAACACCTGGAATTTCCTGACCTGTTGCACCGGCAGTTGGGAAAAATGTTGAACATTCACCATTCAACCGTCTCCAGAGTGTTGAAGCGGTTCCAGGAGCGGTTGACGTTGGACCACGGCAAAGGAGCTGGAAGAAAACCGGGACCGGAGAACAAAAAGACGGAGGGAAAGGTGAAGCGGATGATTAAAGCAAATCCCAACGTCTCAAGCCGTGATTTGGCTAAAAAGATCGGCATGTCGCAGAGCTACGTCTAGAATGCAAAGAAGAGAGCTGGACTACATACATACAAGGTACAGAACTTCCCAAACCACGATGAGCGGCAACAATCGACGGCTAAAACTCGGGAACGGAAGCTCTACGAGAAGATGCTGACAAAATATGGCTGCTGTGTGATGGACGACGAAACGTATATAAAAGCCGATTTTAAGCAAATTCCGGGGTTGGAGTTTTTCACCGGCAAGAGCAAGTTCGATGTGGACGACAATTTTAAGAAGAAGAAAATGTCGAAGTTCGCCTCCAAATATCTCATTTGGCAGGTCATCTGCTCTTGCGGACTGAGGAGTGAGCCTTTCGTGACAAAGGGCACAGTAAATGGCGAGATCTACAAATCTGAGTGCCTCGAGAAGCGCCTTTTGCCGTTCTTGCAGCAGCACGACGAAGCTCCGCTATTTTGGCCAGATTTGGCATCATGCCACTATTCTAAAAGTGTCCTGGAGTGGTATGAGGCCAATTCTGTCCATTTTGTTCCAAAGGACATGAATCCGCCAAACTGTCCGGAGCTGCGCCCGGTGGAGCAGTACTGGGCAATAATGAAGCGGGAACTTCGGAAGAGCAAGAAGACAGTCAAAGACGAGAAGGACATGTTAAGAAAATGGAAAAAAAAAAACTGAGAAACTGGTACCGGATGACACTGTAAAGACTTTGATGGAGGGCATCAAGCGAAAATGCGTTCAATTTTACACTCAAGGCTCCATCGATTAACTTTTCTTTTGATTTTTGAAGTAAATATATGTATAAAACTACCCTAAAATTTTGGTTTGATTCATAACATTATAAGAAAATTGGCATGACATTTTCGGTGTCGCAATAATTTCGTGTTCGCCCTTTACATAAGCGATTCAGTCAAGGGTCGTTTGGGGGTGGTCTGGTTTTGATCCCGAGTCATTTTGTTAGTCATTAGAAATAACCCAGGTTGCTTGGTTATCCATTTGTATGCCTCTTTTCACACCTACTCGATAGCAGTCCCGTGGTTTCACAAAATCGTCATTTCAAATTCTGAAAAGTGACAAGTTTTAATGCAAGTATTTTGTAGAGTCGGTGTATAATGAGTCACGCCAAGAGTGAAGCCAAGTCTACCTATTAAACTGTCAAAACGGCTACCTATCGTGCAAAGTAAATAAACATTACGATGCTATGAAAGGTTCACGAAAGGTATTGCAATAAAATATAAAATATAATCGAAGAAATGAGCATAAACACGCAGTGAGCGTTAAATTGTCATGGGATACGCTCGGTAATGATTAGTAATGAGAATTTCTACTATTTTTTGTTAAGATAATTTGACAAAATCACTGATATAATAATTTACTACAGCCGCAGTATTTTTTCTCTCGCTAGAAGTCATTTGAAGTTGTTGTAGAAGTCCTCTGTTGCCAAGTGAAAAGAAAGGGAATCTTTCGAAAACCGTGATGCGAGTTCAACTGTTTTTCTCTTGGCGTGACTCATTATACACCGACTCTAGTATTTTGGTTAAGGGTCAAGTGGGGGCAGTCTGGTTTCATCACCATTTTATTGCATTTTCTTGTACTTTCAATTGCTCAATGAATGGCCTGCTCGTTTTTGCCCATCTGTTTGTCGAGATAGCAAAATGGTGTCTTGAGCAAAGTTTTGGACAATATTAAAACAAACATTTTTGCTGAATACGTCAACCCTATATCTCTTATGTTTACAGGTATATGTCATTTTTTTGTAAGAGCCTTCAGAAAATCATTTTTTTGCAAATAACTTTTCAGGAAGTAATTTTTTGACATTAGTATGTTGTACAAAAATGTTTGTTTTTTTTTAAATACGCCATTTTGTCTTGGGAAGCAAGTCCCTATCTTCAATATTTCTTAAGATATTCAAGGTTTTGATCCAAAATTAGCACTATTTCCAAGGTCAATAGCTCAAAGTTGGGCAAAATTGGGCAAACCAGGTTGATTACATTTAAAAGTATACTTAAAATGCTGCCCATTGCATACCAAATCATTAGTTTTCTTTTTAATAAAAAAAAAATTGTTTCTTTTTAATAAAAAAAAATATCCTTGCTTCGAACCGGGAATCGAACTTAGCCGCCTGCTGTATGGTCGATCAGAGCCCCAGAGTGTTGTGTGATATACAGTAGATACTCAAAATAGCAAGGATTTTTAAATTTTAGTCAACTTTGGAGTATTGTAACTTCGTCAAATATGGTCCAATTTTAATTCATCCAAAAGCATTCGACTGAAAAACTAATTTGTGTACCCACATAAAAGTAACCATGGTCTCCGGATACCGGAGATATTTCGGGTTTCCGGAGGCCTCGTCTAACTAGCTAAATTTGTCATGTGATTTTATATAGGATGCCGGTTAAAAAATGAATTTTTTAGTAAATACACAGCAAGAAGAACCATTTCCAGAGCGAATGATACGCCAAACTAAAGAACTAAATTCGGCCTATAATCAACCCTGGAATGGAGGGTTCTAAATACGGTCAGATCTTTTAATCACGCAAAGCATGCCGTGCGACAGATCTTTCTTCAAGGTTTTTAATCAATAGGCTTTCGATAGACTTTAAATGCATAATTGACCACAATAGCCGCACTCGGAACCTCCGTGATTCCCCCCGAAGAACCTGTAGCAGGGGAAAATTGCATGTTAACACAAAAACATGCCATGCGACACCTCTTTCTTCATGATTTTTCATGAATAGGCTTTCGATAGGCTTTATGTTAACATTGACCACATATACCACTCTCGGAACCAGAGGGATGCCCCCTGGGGAACATGTACCAAGGGACAGCTGCAAGATTACACCAGAATATGGTGTGCGACAGCCATTTCTTTATGTTTTTTCATCAATTGACTTACTATAAACTTGTGGCCAATGATCCATTTGAAGTTTATGGACAGTCTATTCATGAAAAACCATGAAGAAAGAGCTGTCGCACTGTATGTTTTGGTGTAAATTTGCAGTTGTCTCCTGCTACAGGTTCCGCCGGGGGCAGATCCAAAATGTGAATCATTGCCCGTAACAATCAATTATGCATAGCTTCATGAAAATCGGAGGAGGTCGACTTTTTCCGACTCGTCATTTGGCGTGGAGATGCTCTAAAGTGGTCGTCGTCCTGAAAAGGTTAAGTATCGAAATTACTGTAAACATATGATTTTTCATAAATACCTATAACCAGAAACAATGCCTAGAAAAAACTCTCATTTCCAGCAAATATCTCACCACTCCGAACGAGCACCTGTGCCTGATTCAGAAAATTCGTAACTATTGTCTTCGTGTTAGTAAGGGGTTTAGTAACGGGTGGTTACTATAGACACTGTCTTTAGACTGGACAATGCTTGTCCATTTGGTTTCAACAGCGAGAAAGAGATAGAGATTAAGCATTTTTGACGCATTGTCCAGTCTAACCTACAAGTGTCTACAGTGGTTACAGTCGCAGTTGTGTTCACTACAAATGCGCTAGAGACGAAACAATATATTGCTTGGGACGCATCACAATGGCAGAGCGCAGGCAGGACGGAGCAAGACTCTATTGATTTCAACTCTCCAACTCCTGCGTACGCTCGTCCACGCTAAAAACACACACACTGACAATAAAGATAAAAAGCGGCATTTTCTTTGTTTTTTGTTATTGTTGATGTTGATCACTACATTGCAAATTTCTGTGTCCCTAGACAACTTGAGTTCACTAGAAGAGTTGAAACACGTGCGCTCTAGATCGAACTCGTTCTATTCGCTACTCAAAAACATTGAAGGAAGAAGACTATTTAGCATAGTAGGCAGGTAGGCAGAGAGGAAAAGTTCAACTAAACAAAGAGAAACGGGACTTTCACTCAGGCTCCTACGATCCTGCAGCTGCTGGATGAGTTCTAGATATCTAGATTGGTGTCAATATTGTGATTGGTGTGGTGTTATGGTGTGAGTGTTTATTCATTTTCAACTACAAAACGAGAGCGGCACAAACAAAAGAACCACTACTTCATGACCGGACGATCACACGAACACAAACATACTCGCTAGAGAGAGAGACAGAGATAAATATAAAGAGGAAGAAGAACACCGATAGCAGCACTGATTGGGTGCAGATGGTTTGTTTTGATTTGGTTTTTTTTGTATTCCTCTCAACGAAGCTGACAGATACTAGGCTGTTTATGTTTGTTTTTCGCAAAATCAAATCGAAAATTGTCAACTAAAGCACGTAACACAAAAGAAAACGCAACTGCAAAAGTTGAATCTGTGTTTTGTTGTTGTTGCTATTGTTTGTTTAAATGTTTGTGAGCGTGTGTTCTTTGTTTACTGATTGTTCTTATTTTTCTGATCTGATCTAATAACGGGCATTTACTGGGGTGATCTTACTTGCCGCACACCTTGCAGGGATAATCATCCTTTGTCGGTATGTGGTTAGGGTTAATAGGGTTACCAGCGGCAGTAGTACTCAAGAAATTACCATTTTGCAAAGTGCCATTTAGGTGTGCCGCCGACCGTCCGATGCAGTGGATTCGGATGTGACCGTGCAGGGCGGCCTTCGAGGAAAAGCTCTGCGGAAGAATCAGCATGGTTAGTTTGGACGTCTAGTGTGAATGTGTGTATACATACCGCTGAACAGTCGGGAACTTCGCAGACGTGCGGCCGCACGTCGCTACCGGTCGACGACGACGACGACGACGAAGATGAACCGGTCTGCTGACTGAGGCTAGGTTTGATCGAGTTGCTAGTGTACCCGATGTGGTCCAGCAGCAGATCGTCCACGGGGTTGGCGTTCAGGTTGATGAACTTCATCGAATTGTCCCCGTGCTGCAGCAGGTGGGTTGTCTTGTAGTCGACGCAAAGCTTCTTCCAGAAGTAGTACAGCTGGACGCAGTCGGCAGTGGTTTTGTCCGGTAGCAGTTCGCTAGCTATTCGACAGAAGTCCTTTCCGTACAGTTCGAGACCGCGGATGAACTGTTCCATTTCGCCCGGAGCCCACCGTCGATGGATGCCGGAAGGTGGCGTCTGTAGGAGATTTAGAATGGCAATGTGCACTTCACCTTGAGCTTCCAGCAGAGATTTGAGCGAGTTTTCTTCGGAGTGGCACCCAAGGGGAACGGCTGAGGAGCGAGTGAGTTCAACGAAGCGGGCAATCTGCTGATCGTTTTGAGATACCAGTGGATCCCAGTACAGGACGTCAGGATGTTGATTGAGATGGTGATAGCTGGGTCGAGAGCATTCGGGTATAGTAGCCTGGTAGTCGTTGCCGAGATTGATCCGTGGCCGAATCGGGAGAGGCGGTTCGCTAAAGATGTCCGATGTGTCGTCGACGGTAGAGTCCGATACGGATGTGGATTGGTTCGCCAGCGAGGAAGTGATCGTCGAGTAGAGACCGGGAGCGGTGCGACCCGGATTCAGCATCGGTTGTGGAGTGTAGTGCGTAACGGGAACTGCAGAGCTGGTGGACTTGCGCAGCTTGGAGTGGTAGATCGGTGTCTTGCGGATCGGGAGTATCGGAGAGGATCGTTTCCGCAGCAGTGCGTGCTGGAGCTTTGGTGAGCTGCTGCTGCTGCTGCCATTGCTGCTAGTCGACGAGATACTGCTCGGACTGAGAAATACGGAATCACCGGCTTGGTGGTTGTCTTTTGGAATTTGCTCGGTTTGTACGGTAAGTGGAATTTTGTTTGTATCACTAGCTGAGACGGCGGATTGGGCAGCATCCGCTTCGGTTTTCAGCTTTTTGGCACTCGGTGGTGAAAAGGTGCTGCTTGATGATTGTTGCTGCTGCTGCTGCTGCTGTTGTTGGTTGGTTGGTAGACTTTGCTGTAGTTGCTGTTCGAAGAGGAACTTTTGGTGCTGTCGATGGGCAAAGTCCTTTGGGGAGGACGACAGCAGCGGATCGTCCGAATTGGGCATCATCTGCGATTGGAGCGATGACAGGCCGTTCAAGTAGTATAGATCGATATCCGCTTCGGCGATGACTACGTCTTCATCGCTGGGGAGAACCTCTTCCAGTGCTTCCTTGACCTCTTCGGCGGTGGACATGGTTCCGGAGAAGAAGGCATTGGACAGTGGAGAGGATGCGTTACGGCTTTCGTTGATGAATGCCTGTGCTTCGTCCAGGAAGTCCAGATTGATCTTGGAGGCGGAGTCCACTTCTTCTGCGTTAGCCGCAGATGCCGACAATGAGTTGGACGGTTTGGCAGCGGTGGATTCCTCTACGAAGTAGCTATCTTCGCTTTTGAACAACTCGTGACAGTGATCGTCCAGGATGTTCTTGTTACTGCGGAAGAGATCGTGATTTTCGTCCAGGAGTTCGTTCTTGAGGGCCAGGATCTTTTCGTCACTCAGTTTGACGTCTTTGGAGTCAGACTTGAAGAAGCCATCGTCGAGGAAGTTGGTTGCGGAAGAAGTACGTTTGTCGTCGAAGAAGGAACTGGCATCGGAGAAGTGACGGGAGTCGTCTAGGAAGGGAGAAGCTTGTGCAACCGGTTCGTGGGATGCCGGAGGAGTAGGGTAGGCTAGAGGAGACGGAAGCGGTGAGTTGGAAGCTTGACTGTTGGGATGATCGCAGTTGATCGATGCGGTGTTGTTGGATGCGCTTCCACTGTAGAGTATAAAGTCTTTGGAATGGAGAGCACTGAATTCGGCTAGACTTTCCGGCAGGGGTGAGTCCAGGACGGCTTGGAGTTGCCGCGAGGGAGTGAAGCTCTGCTCGTTGATGGTGGTGTAGTCGGAGAGGGAAGCTATTTCGTCCAGTTGCTCTGTCGAGGAGGAGTCCTGCAGCAGCTGGATAGAGTCGACGGCCTGCAATAGCATGGTCGTATCGCTAACACTATACACGTCGTTATCACTAAAGAAGGCAGCGGCGCCGGTGGCATCGGTAGAGTAGGCTAGAGTGAACACGTCTGCACTGCCGGAAGGCGCTTGTGATATTGTGAGTGAAAGAGGAGAGGAGCCGGATCCGGTGGCAGCTCCGACGACCGAGTGCTCGGTTGAACTGGCATTGGTGATGGACAGCGCTAGGGGCGGCGTGGTGCCTGGAGTGGACGGTGCGCTGTTCATGCTTGCGGGGAGCACTACGGTTCGGGTTGCCGTCGTCGATTGCTGCGACGTAGTTGTCTGCGTTGTGATTGCTAATTGACCAGGATCGGAACAGGTACGTTTCACAGCCACCTTGGTGCCACGTTTCAGCAGTTCGATCAGCGTGGCGTCCTTGACTTCGGTGGTGGTGCAGATGGAACCGCCGCCAGCTGCCATGAAGGTCGCCTTCGGGTTGATGATCTGCGTTGTTCCATTCTGCGTTGACACGATGGCGACCGTGCCCGGTTTGGGCGAGAGTAGCGCTTCGCTTGCTTCCAGCAGCCGTCGAGCGGTCAGTGGAGCTGCCGGCACCACGAACGAACCCTTCAACAACAGATTCTAGAGTTATCGATTGGGGGAAGAATTTGCAACATGGCAAGATTAGAACACCAAACACCGATAACATAGAGAAATAGGGAGTTCTGGACATACCTTTAAATCCTTGCTACGCTTGTTGATGATCTTCTCCTCGATCAGTGCCCGCACTCCGACGCTGGCCGTCTGCAACGGAGGTCCGGTGTGTTCCTTCTTATCACATTTCTTCGTTTCGGAGTCTTTCTTGAAGTAGCCTCCGTGGAGACGCATGTGCCCGTTGAGGGCCGGGATGTTCTTGAACTTGCGATGGCACAGGTTGCACTCGACGGGCTTCTGGTCTGACTTGGTCAGTCCTTGAGCGGAGTTGGGTGACTGGGCCGGACCATGGGAACTGCCATTGCCATCCGCAGACTGCGCTACGGAAACTGTAGTGTTCGACGTACCGCTGCTGTAGCTAGTGTTGAGCGATGCTGAACTGGTAACAATCGCTGTCGTAACCTTGTTCTGACTCAGCTGGAGCTGTTGGAAGAGGGAGAGAGAGAGAGAGAGAAATAGAAGAAGGGTATGAAATTTATTGAGTTTCGAGTTGAGTCGAGTTCGTGGCAGACTTTTGTGGGGTTGTGCGATTGTTATAACGATAAGAGCTGGGTACTTCTTTCTTTTCGGCACTCGTAATCCCCTGTTGGGACTGTAAGGGGACGGCAGCGACGTGAAAATCCACACAGAAATGTTTCTGATTCTTTTCCCATGTTTGGCTCTCTCTATCTCTGGCTCGAAAGGAAAAGTATTTCGACTTTTACTGACGTCAAGTGGTTTTTGTTGTAGAACTACTATAAGGACGGCAGAAGGATGCTTATTTCGGGTGGTCTGAAAGCTTCTGGGAATTGCAAGAAGGGATCTGGGAGTGTTCTTCCATTTTATGTTTGGAATGCTTTGACTGCTATAATAAGCTTTACGTTGTTGAAATGACCAGCTGGGAAGGTAGTCGTAATTCCCCCCGTTGGGATTGTAGATTTTAAAGCGGTAAATGTATCAATTTGGTTGCATTCCATTTGGTTTTCCAATTTCGAACAACAAGTCAGAACGCAGACAACTGTCGAAAATCCGTCGATATACTCATCTCGCAAAATCCGAATCGAACACAAAGACATTAATCATCCCCCCGGATAATAGCCTGCCCACCCATCCGGCAAGCTATTCAGCAACTATTCCCGACAACTCAACACACTAATCAACATCCAAATACATCCTCCCCACCCCCTCTACCGACTCCAACACGGTAGAGGCAGGCTACACCTGATGGTAAATGATGAAGTTCCATTCAGAACGACTCACTTGACAATCATAAAAGAGCGAATGAAGAACTTTCTCCGCATAGCATCACAACAACACGGTATGGCACGGCAGCAGCCAGCATCATAAGCTCATTATTCAGAAATGCTAATTTTCCGTGTGTAGTTTTCCACGACTCAACGTGCCGGGGCTGGCTGGTTGCTGGTGCTGAGCGGCTTTTCCCCGACAGATATTTCAAAGCCGAGGCAGACGAGCGAACGTTCCGTAGAATTCGCTCTACGGTGGAGGACTTTTGAGAAAAGCTTTTCTTGCGTTGCAACAAATTGGAAAAGGGTTTTCCGGGCTGCAGCGAAAATTTTAACTGAAGGTATAAAGCTCTAGGTATGACGGTAAAATAGATGCAAATAGAATAGAAGGAAGCCGTTGGAATCAGATGATGCCAGATAGGGGAGGTGGGGATAGTATGCACATGCTAAGAAAGAAGATCCCCGTTTAATTCGCAAAGTGAATCGATATTGCACTTATCTATTTGTTGGATTAAAGGTTATAGATTGCTTAATGAAAGTTGATAAATTCTTGTTTAAATTGGTGAAATTGAAAAGCCGTACAAAAACCTGTTTTCAAACCACTGAGGGGCAAAATGCGCATTAGCAGGCTATGGAAGCATACATTCAGGGTTTATTATTGCTCTTTCTCTATTAACCACTTCATTCGAGCAGATAAAATGACGTTTACTATCACTCGAACTTTGAAATGAAACATTATTTTGAGATTTTTTCTTCTAGAACCTCGAGAAAAGTAGCCAACATTTGTGCGTTTCATAAAAAAATAGAAATTAGTTGGTCCAGTTTTGTTCTATCGCTGGTAGAAAGTCACGCCAAAACTGCTTGACAAAGTGGTCAATTGAATATCAAAGGTTCACGCCTGATGGTTATGCTTTCCACACTACAATGCAATGAGCGCATTATACCCTACTTGGATACGTCTATTAACGTCTCTTTAAACTGTTCCCCTACAAGAGGAGAATTTAGTTCATTCGAGACGGATACCCTACTTGGAGTAACAAATTGTAACGTTGAAAATATCTACTATTTTTCGAAAAATCATACTAAGCTGAAGATGAAGGATGTATCTAAAAACTGCATCAATCGAATCTTTAATGTTGGCAAGATTCAGAGGTATCAACTGATTTAAGAAAATACTATTTTTGCATGGTTTTGTGACAACATTGTTTTTCGATTATATCAATTTCAAATGACTTTCATCTAAACGTTGTTTGCTTCTATTCACATAGTACGTTTAAAGTTTAGTTCTGGTTGATAAGTTATTATTCTGCAGATCTCTAACTGTGCAATAGATAAAACCTCTAAGATATTCTTGCAAGAAAGTAGGTTGTCTAGTAATTATAACAAAGACCCTCAATTGATCAAATAGGGGAAATGGATGTAATATCGGCCTAAATGCCCCTAATTTGGGCCCATACATAAATTCAGCAATCGACTAAATTTTCAATAGCGACCAAAAATATCCATTAGTACCGCCGCGTTCATCTAGATAAAATTGATAAATAGCAGATTTTCAGCGATGGGCCCAATTTTAGATCCATAGGCCAACATTAGAGCCCTACTTGCATACTATTATCTGGGTATTTTGGCAATTATTCTGGTTGATTTTTAATTATTCTGGAGATTTCTAATTATTCTAATTGCTTTATTAACTAGAAGCAAAGCTATAAGGCGCATTTTGTCCGCTATGGCCATTTTAGGATGGACATTTCCCCCAATGAGTCGAACGTCTTTATTATTATTCTTCTTCTTCTTCTTCTTTTTCTTCTTCTTTTTCATATTTCAAGCTTATTGCTTATCGTATATTAGCCTAATGCGTGCTTTCAACTTAGTGTGCTAGATGCACTTCCACAGTTATTGATTGAGAGCTCTCGATGCCTGTACCATTTTTGCATTAGTATAATTGTGTGGTAAGTATATAATCATACTCTATGTCTAGGGAAGTGGAGAAATTTCTGGAATGGGTCGGGAATCAAACCCAGTCACCTCCGGCATGGTTGCGTTGTAGGTAAGCCTTTATCGACTGAGCTAAGGGAGCCCTTCGAACGTCTCTGAATAAACTGAACGATGATTTTTAGACAAATCGAACTGAAAGCGACTACTACTCGTCCAGAAGACCTCATCCAATTCCCTCTCAGCTATCGTCCAATACCACCGTTAACCACCTTCTACAGCAATTTATTACTGTTATGGTGTGATCCTATCATCCAGATAAGGTCATGAAACTAACGAAGCACTTTTAGAAAAAGTATACTTTTACGATTACGAGAATATTTTGAACTTGTCTGAAGTTCCCTCGGAGATTGTCTTGAAAATACCACCGAACTTCTTGGACGATCGCATGGAACTTCTATGAAGTTCCCGTGGAATTAGCCTAAAATTCACTTAGGACTTGTCTGAGGCTCCTTCGGAACTTGGATTCCATCAGAACTTCGCTGAACATCCCACGTAACTTCTTTGAAGCTCTGGAGTTCCCTCGGAACATGCCTGATATTCTCTTGGAACTTCCCACAATTTTCCTTAGAACATCCCGCAAGTTTCCTTCGAACTACCCAATTATGTCTTCAAGCATCCTAAAAAAATCCCCGGAGCTTTTCAGACATTTCTTCGGATAATTTCAGAAGTTCACTAGGAACATCCCAGAAGTTCTTTAGAAGTTTCCCAGAAATCCCATTCAAACGTTGCAAAAGTTTCTTCTAAGCATCTCGAAAGCTTGCTCTCCTCTTATATGATGATTATAGGCGTAACTAGGATGTTTACCTAGGGGCTAGAGGCCCTAGTTGACAAGACAAACCGGTAGCCTCAATGGAGCCGGTAATAAGAGGTTCAAATACCTGATAGCTCATGCCCATAGGCCTAAGCCTAATATGGCGCGGGTATTGGCTGAGAAGTACCATATTCCGATCCGAACAAGCGTCGTAGTACTGCGGAGCTGAGCAAACCTAATTCTAGTGACACCAATCCACCGAAAAAAGGTTGCTCTGCATACCGAAAGAGGATCACAGGCAAAGTCCTCGGTGCAGTCAAGGTTGGAGCTAGCCAGAAGAGGAGATGTTGGAGAATCGTCTGCCCCAAAGAGGGTCACTAGTGTCTCCCATAAACCTTCTTATAGAAAGGTATTTGAACTCCATCAGGATTGGACTTTTGCCCGACGGCTCTCCAAATGCAAAACTGACCACACAAGAATCAGTTGCTACCCAAAAGGTAATGCTAACAAAAGTAGCTGAGCAAAGAAAACAGAATCAAACCAAAGTTCGGGAACTGCTTATTCGGACCACCAGGTTACTGTCAACTGGTTAAAGGCTACAATTCCCAGCGTTCAGCCCTGGGAAGAAGAATGCCTTTTTGCAGTTGAAGAAAAAGACCTATCCAGGCCTGAAATTTTATTGGGTTTCTTTCCACGAAGTGTAGAGGAGACAAATAAAGATATCCTTGCACGGAGAAAAAATACTACCCAAAATTTGAGTTCTTTTTACTTAATTATGAGTTGAGCCTCTTAATTCCACTCGTTATTTTTGTCAAAAAAGGAACGAGAGATTCGACCCAACGATATAGTTCAGTACAATAAGTTACTTCTGAGTAAATTGCATATTCTCAAATCTACCTGAATTAAACTTAATTTTGGGTAGAATATACTTAAGAGTAGGTATTTTTTTGCTGGTGTTAAATGGAGACTACTATATGTGATTTACTCAAATTTGGGTTATTGAACTGAACCCGGTAATTGAGGGAAAATTACTAAATTTTGGGTAGTTTTTTATTGCCGTGTGCCTTTGTGAAAAGCCAAAATTAAGGACTAATGGTTGACGTTTGGAAGATCCTTAAGAGATACACGGTTAAACAGCATCACGTTAAATTTGTTTTCACTGTTGATGCTGTTTCCATGAAGACCTTACAAAAATGCGATTTTACTGTGGATTATATATTCGGAATTGCCTATTTAAGGAAAAAAAAATCCTCCTCTAAATCAGGAATTAACGAGTAATCAGAACGAGTTGGTGACAAAAGAGTAGAGGGCGATTCAGAATAGTACAGTATAAGTTCTTCAACATACGAGAATTCCGAGGATGCTGAGATGCGTGAGACAAATCAACAAGGTACAGAAGCTAGTGAAATCATAAACAGTGGATCTGGCGAAAGCCGCAATGCTACACTGCAAAT